GAAGTGGTGATTTTTTTTTTTAATAGCTTCAGCAACAGGCTAGTAAATTAGCATCTTAACGGAAATAGTTAAAGGTCTTTGGTATCCTTAAAGGATTTTTACAAGGCAATAATACACATTCTTTCCACCTAAAAGTTGTTTCATCTTCTTAAGGCAGGTTATTTAAAAACGAAAAGCTACCAAAGAAATGTTTGCTAAAGATGTGCTACTTTTGATTAGGAACTTCTTTTGAAAGTGATTTAGATGAGACTGAACAGGACTGCACAAATGCTTAAAGATTATGTTCTTTCTATGGGCGTCAGGTTTTTAAAAATGTGCTTTGACTTACATATACTTTGGCTTCACATATTGAAAAGTTAAAGAAAATGTAGGTAGTTTTCTTTAGCTTCAAAGATGTTAGGTTTATCCACAATGAATGAAAATAACATACTGGCTTATAACTTTAAAATGCATCACAATGGTACTAACAAAAATAAGGACTTCTAAATTAAGCTTGCAGATAAAAATATTAGGATCACTTAGTAGTTAGATTATGTGTTTAGTGTGGAGTATCGTTGGAGGGAATTTCCTCAAATATAATAAAGTACTTATTTTAGTGGAGAGGCTAATTTTGAATCACCTTGATACGGGGGCTAATTTTGAGGAGGCTGTTTGCTGAGTTAAAGATGAAAGTAACTCAAAATTAATTGTAAAATGGGATAGTAGGACTTTTCATGCCAGGAGACTTTTGCTATGCTAGATGAATCCTTAAAAATCCAAACAGCTGCTTTTTAAAATCACTTGTAATTTGAAATCGATATTAAATATAATCTAAAATAATTGCATTTTTAGTCACCTGCTACCTGTTTCCTTGTTTAAATAACAGTTTCCTAAAATACACTGAAAGGTTTTGAAACTGAGTTTATGGCATAGCTTTAAACTGAGAATTTGGGGTATGCCTGGGGCATGGGGTTTGCCTAGGTATGCCTTGGTAAACTTTTAGAGCTTTCCTCATCTCCTTTTCCTCCTCCCCCTTTTCCCAGGCCTTAGGCTTATTTCATCTTAGATGACCAGTTACTTATTAGGTCTACTATTTTAAGTTTGAGGATGCCTTTGATGATAAATAAAATTAATTTCCAAATTAACAAGTTTGGACTATAGTTTTTAAAAAGCAATACATAGATTGTAGTTGTGGGTTTTAAAATATTCTGGGCAGGGTGCATCTGTGGCAGGCAGAAGCCAATTTTGTGTAGCTAATTCTCTCTTTGCACCTTTATTTGGGTTCCAGATATTGAACTCAGGTTGACAAGCTTGCTGTAAAGTGCCTTTACCTGCTGACCCATCTTGCTGGCCCAGATGTCTGGTGTGTGTGTATATGTGTATGCATTTTTTCTTTTTTTCCCACTTCAGCACTGGGTATTGAACCTAGGGCTTCATACATGAAATTATGTACCACTGAGCTATACTACCAGCCCATGGAGTCAAGTTTTTGATTTATCAATTGATTTTTTCCTCTTTTTTTCTTTTTGAGTCAGAGTCTCCCTGTAGCCTCAACTGGCTTGAAACTTAGACCAGGCTGGCCTCGATCTCACAGAGATCCACCTGCCTCTGCCTCCTGAGTGCTGGAACTAAAGGTGTGCACCACCATGCTCGGCAACTTTTCCTGTTTTGTTTTTTTAAAATAATTATTATGTGTATGAGTGTATTGCGCCTGTATGTCTGTAAGCGCATCTGTGTCATGAAATGCCCAAGGAGGTCAGAAGAGGGCGTTGGATTCCCCGAAACTGGAGTTGAGAATGGTTGTTAGTCCCAGGGAATCAAACCCAGGTCTTATGCAAGAGCTGCAAGTACTCTTAACTGCTGAGCCATCTCTCCAGCCCCTTGACCTTTCCTCTTGACTTTGGGCCTCTGAGGTATTGCAGCTTGACTTGTCTCATCTTACCCTCATCAATGGTCAATTTCAGTAGAAAGTCTTTTTTTGCTGTTGTTACATGTAGTAAACAAAAAACACAATTTCTTTTCTTAAGCCTTTTTTTTTTTTTCCCCTTCCAACTTTTAACGTTGCTATTTAAAAGACAAGTTAAAGAAGGGCTTGGTTCTTTCCTGTTCCAATTTTGGCTCTCCTTCCCTCCTGCCTCACCTGGATCCTCCACCACTTCCAGTCCCTTTGCCACTGCTCCTCCACTTTTTTGAGGGTTTCCTAAGCAGTCTCTGAGAGGGAGTCCACTCTGTTCCAGATTGTTCTGCCCTTTCCTCTTGCCTTTTCAAATCCTACTCCTCTCATTCATCACTGGCTGTGATGACTCCTGCTTGCTGATGCTTATATTTTAAAAACTCTCTCCACCCTGCTCTTCCCCTCTCCCGTCTTCTCTCTCCCTCTATCCCTGCCCCCCTCCCTCTCTCAGACAGGGTCTTGCTGTGTAGTCCGGCCTCCCAAGTGCCGGGATTACAAGCATATGCCACAATGACTGGCTACCTTTTCAAGATATTTTTCATCTAAATTTCTTGCATGCCCCAATTTTTTTTATTAATTTTTTTTCATTTTATGTGTGTGTGTGTGTGTGTGTGTATGTGTGTGTGTATTGGGTGTGTGTGTATTGGGTGTATGTATGGAAGTGTACCTGTGTTGTGCAGTGCCCTGGGAGGAGAGAAGAGGGCGTCAGATCCTCTGGAACTGGAGTTATGGACAGTTAGTTAGCTGCCATGTGGGTGCTGGGATTCGAACCTGGGTCTTCTGCAAGAACAGCCAGTGCTCTTAACTGCTGAGCCATCTCTTCAGCCTGGCCTTAACTTCTTCTACAGGCTTCTTGTTTTGCACATTTTGACTTGGATTGAAGTTGCTTGCTTATGTGTGTCTTTTTTCTCCTTCTAAATGGTAAGGGACTTGGGTCTAATGTAATCTTACTGTGTCATCTTCCCAGTACAATGTTTTTTTACATATTTGTGCAAGGAAGGCATGAATAATCCAGTTCCTTCTAGTCCATCAGAGCCTTTTCTTGAAATCATTGTACGGTATTTCCAGCTCTGCAGATTGTAATTACCTAGGAGGCCAGATAAAAAAGGGGAAAAAGGAATGAGAGTTGCTCAGACCTCACCCACAGATCTGTGAGATTTTGCAAAATTTTGCTGGTGACTGTACTGTGCTGGAAGATGATTTTACTGTCTTGTGCTTCTAGGTGGCCCTGAGAAGGCAGCAGGCCCAGGAGGAGGAACTGGGCATCAGCCACCCTATCCCACTGCCCAGCGCAGCCGAATTGCTTGTCAAGAGAGAGAATAATGTCCACAGCCCATGCCTCATGACCGAGAGCAGCTCCCCACAGCCTCCATCGGCCAGTGCCCCAACCCCTGTTGCCTCAGGTAACCTCGGGGGCCTGGGTTCCCACTGGGACCAGTGTAAGGCAGGAAGAAGGGTTGCAGTCAGCCACATAAATAGTCTTAGGACCATCCTGAGCTCCACACATTATTTAGATCCTCCAGGAATTTCTTGAAAGTCTGCCTCTACAAGTCTGCTCTTGGCTGCCTCCCAAGTTGACTGTGGCTTCCAGAGGAAAGCTTCAACGGTGTTGCTGTCCTGCTCATGAGTGTCCAGAGTCAGAGTCACAGGATATCAGGGAGAAGTGAAATTGTTCATATTTCATCTCAGTCCACCCCTCCATGTTTGGCTCCTGTTGAGTGGGGACTCAAGGGTCCTGTTTCCTGGAACTGGGCATCCATTCTTCTAGCAAGGATTACATCCCTTTGGGAAAGGGTCTGAGAAGGCCAAGTCCTGGATTTCACATTTGAATGTGGGTGGGAACAAGAAGGCACGTGTGCTGGCTTGCATTCTCCCCTCAGGACTGAGTGCATTTCCAGAGGCTGTGTATACAGGAGTTCAACTCACTTCCTTCCCAGAGTCACTGTGAGGGAAGAGGTAGCAATTATAGGATGCTTGAAAACTAAGGGTTAGTTAGGAAGCTAGTTGACTGACCACGTTGACTGAATTAGGAAGTCTATTAAACTGTTTATTTATTTGGGTTCTTTTGAGGAGACATGGCCTCCCTGTAGCCCCAGCTGGCTTGGAACTCACTAGGCTGGCTTGTTCTCACAGAGGTCTATGTGCCCGCCTTTACCTACAAAATGCTGGGACTAAAGGCATGTGCCACTGTGCCCAGCTGAATGAACTAGGAAGTCTAAATCAGCCCATCTGCTTTCAGAATTCCATGAATTCACTGTGGTGGGTCTCTAAATCTGGAGCACTACAGTGGATGGGAGCTCACTGTGACAAGTAGCCCCCAGCCATACGTGATTATTTAAGTTTAAAACGATTTTCGTGAAATAAAATGAGAGCATTTGGTTTCTCTAGTGCACTAGCCACATTCAAGCATGCAGTCACCACACAGAACCAAGGGCTACCATGATGAATGGATGCATTTTCGTTCTCCAGAAACTTGATGGTGCCATTTTGGGATGCATGGCCATTGAGAAACCTAGTAGTGATCTGTGGTATTTCAGTTTTCTGGGAATTAAATACAGTAGTGTCCCCTTATCTGATAGGTTTCAAGACCCCAAGGAATGTCTGAGGCACACTTACATACATAGGTATACACAACACACACACATGCACGTATAGGCATACACATACAGACACACTGTACATCAACATACCTGTGACAAAGATTAGTTTGTAAATTAGGTAGTGAAAGATACTATTAATAGCCAGGGTAATTCTCAGACTATACCATAATAAATTTCTTTAGAACTTGTAGATTATTTGTTTCTACAGTTTTCCCTTTAATATTTCTGGACCATTCTTGACCTCAAGTAAGTGAAATCCTGCTGTATGCATAATAACATCACGGCATATCTTTAGGGGTTACCCTGGCTTCAATGAAAGCCAGCTTTGGAACAGGTACCACCTTAACTAAGCTTTCGTGAATCACTGTTTGCTGAACTTAACCACTGGGATAAAATTATTCAACCACATGTGAGTAGCTGTGCAACTTTAGAAAAGTTGTTCAAGCTCTCTGGGCTTTATGTTTCACATCTCAAAAATGAGAGGGTTCCTGAGGGGCAGAGAATATCTTCCCATGAGTCCTGGCCGTTGGAAAGGAGAATGTAGGCATGTATCAAAAAAGAAAGTGTCTGTGTGTCTGTTGCTGTAGATATTGTAATTAATAAAGGGAAAAGTACTGATGTCCCACAACTTAAGATGGAACTACATCCTGATAAACTCAAGACAAACTGAAGATTTCATAGGTTAAAATGGATTTAACACACTTAGCCAGTGATCACAGTTTGGCTACACTATAGTGCTGAATACTGGTGGTAGGCTCTGACTGTGTGGCTGTTTGGGAGCTGTCCATGCGTCTGCCTAGAGTTTCAGAAGATCATTCTAAATATCAGTAGCTTAGGAAAAGATAAAGATTCAGTATCTAGTTTCTACGGAAAAGGTACCCCTTTCATTCCAGTTTTAGAACCAGCATAAAGTAAAAAATCATAAGCAGAACCAATACTCTTTGATTTTTTTTCCCCCCATGGGGTTGTTGGCTCACAGTATGTACTTAGGATGTTTCCAAACTTGACTCTTCATAGGCAAAGGAAGTTCTGGCAGGGTATGTCAGAGTGGTGGTGGGCAAAGTTACAGGAAAGAGCCACAGAGGAGCAAGAGAGGAGGGTTGGGGTGAGGGAGGATGTAACCTTGACCCCTGGTCTGCCTGAGAGTTGACAAACCTTGAGGTCCTGTTGCTATCTTGAAACAGGAAGAATGTCTGGGCCAATGCATGCTCTGCTCATTCCCTGAGGAGATAAGTGGGTCAGGCTTGTCCTGGAAGCTCACTCTGCTTCTCAGAGGAAGACACCAGCCAGCTAGGTCTGCAGGCAGGGACTCGATGGTCCTCTTCACAGGACTGATTTCCAGATCTCCACATGGGAATTGATAATTTTCAGACTGAGTCTGGATATTAGCAGCAGGGAAATGGAGATGCCAGTAGAATTTTAACTATATGAGAGAGAGACAGAGACAGAGAGAGAGACACAGAGAGAGACACAGAGAGACACTTGGGGGGGGGAAGACACTGAGTCTAGGCTGACAGACTGAGTCTTGAAGCTTTTATGGAAGCCAACTTCTTAGCTTGCTTCTACCAAACACATAGCTTATATTAAGGTTTCAGAGACTTATTTGAAATAACATTTACCTTTTGCAGGTAAATGATGAATATGGGGCTGGTGAGATGGATCTCTGGTTAAAAGGGCTTGCTGTGCAAGTCTGATGATGTGAGTTTGATTCCTGAACCCACAATAGAAGGAGAGAATTGACTGCTGAAAGCTGTCCTCTTACTGCTATACACATACTAGTGTACATGTACACCTCCCAATAATAAATTTTAAAAATTTAAATGGTCAGTATTTATAGTAGAGTATAAAACATTCAATAAGGAACTAAGGCGATGACTCAATGAGTAAAGTGCTTGCTACACAAGCATGAAGGCCTAATAATAAAAGCCCTTTGTGGCAGTGTGTGCTTGTAAAGCCCAGTGCTGGGACAGGGGAGAAACAGGTGATTCTTGGGGCTTCCTGGCCAGCCAGCTTAACTGAAACAGCAAACTCCAGATTCAGGAAGAGACCCTGTCTCAGAAAATAAAGTGGCGAGTCTGGAGAGGGAGAGGGGTTAAGAGTACTTGCTATTCTTGCAGAAGAACTGGGTTTCTTTCCCAGCACCCACATCAGGTGGCTCACAACCGTCTGTAACTCCAGTTCCCGGGGATCTGACGCCTTCTGCCCTTCTCCGGCATCAGGCATGCACATGATGCACATATATGAATAGAGACAAAACACTCATACACATATTGCAAATAAATCTTTAAAAAAATAAATAAAATGAGGAGCAGCAAAAAAAGACACTCGACATTGACTTCTGACTTATACACACATACACACACAGAAGCAAATATACCTGCACACACGTGTACATACATATCACACACAGTTACGCTTGTACAGACACAAACACAAACCAAAATGTTTTCAGTGAAAGATCATTTTTCTTCTAGTCCAGCCTGCAGTTCCCACGTCGCCTATGAAAACTTGCTGCATGTAAAAGCTTCTGTCCCTTTTCATATACCTGAATACATACAGACAGCTTGAAACTCTTAAATATTTATTTTGTTTTAATTATTATTTCCTTTTTAATTATGTGTGTGTGGGGGTATGTGCATGTGAGTGCAATGGCCCCCTGAGGCCAGAAGTGTCAGATTGCCCTGCATCCGGAGTTATAGGCAGTTGTGAGCTGCCCCACGTGAGCGCTGGAAAGAGTCCTGAGTTCTTTCCATCCCAGCTTAGAATTATTTTTTTTGGCGGGGAGAGTGAACAGGATCTGCCAGTTCCAGCTGGCCTGGAACTCACTATGTAGACCAGGCTAGCCATGATTTCACAGAGATCCGCCTGCCTCTGCCTCCTGAGTGCTGTGACTAAGGCATGTGCCACCTTGCCTGGCTTCAGCTTAGAATTCTTTATTTTTATTTTTTAAATTTTTAAAAAATATTTTATTTATTATTTTTATATGTGTATGAGTGTATCGCCTGCATGTATGTCAGTGCACCCACGTTGTGCAATGCTGCGGAGATCAGAAGAGGGCTTCGGATTCCCCTGGAACTGGAGTTAGGGATGGTTCATAGCTGCCATGTGGGTGTTGGGAATTGAACCTAAGTCCTCTGCAAGAGCAGGCAGTGCTCTTAACTGCTGAGCCATCTCTCCAGCCCCCTCCTTTTAAAAAACTTTATATATATTTTAAAATTTTACGTGTATGCATGCATTGCCTGCATGTAGGTAAGTGCACCTGTGTCATGCAATGCCCGTGGAGGACAGAAGAGGCTGTCAGATCCCTTGGAACTGGAGTTACAGTTTGTTAGCTGCCATATAGGTGCTGGGAATCGAACCCAGGTCTTCTGCAAGAACAACCAGTGTTCTTAACCGCTGAACCATCTCTCCAGCCCCTCAGCTTAGAATTCTTAAAGGCCTAGGATTCTGTTCAGATGTGGAAGGGCTGAGTTGGAAGTGACATAGTGACAGATGAAGGTGGTAGATGTGGTCCTGGCACAGAAAAACCTGTCAGCCTGGCTCTCCTGGGGCCTGGGCTAACCTCTTGATAATAACTGCTGCCTATTGGTCTCTTGACCAATCACTTGGTAAAACGAAGTAGATTTTTTTTTTTTTTTTGTCCTTGAAGCTACGTGGTTATCTTTTTGGCTCCTTAAAATGCCAAAAGTGAGAATGAGAAATGCTTAAGAATTATTGTTGAGACTTTCAGCTGAGTTTTAAGGACACTTCAAACAAAACTGGATTTATCAGGCTGTGCTTCTTTTATTGAGGACCTGAGGCCT